GTTCCCACTCGTCCCTCTTGTTCCCAACTCACTGTACTCTCTAAACAGTACCTTTCCAATGTTTTCGTTCTGCCTTTGTGGTAGCCAGACCTGTGACTGTTAGTGATGATCAGCGCCCTCACCGCTGCACACAGAAGACGTGAGTTTGATGTTCTATCAAGTATCTCCGTCTTCCTGCCGGGATGCGTATCCCAGTCCGCTGTGTCGGCCACAACAACCCGCCTCCTATTGATCTGAATTTTTTCGAAAGCATTTTCCCTTCAAATGTGAACATAGCAAGGTCAGGACAAATGTGACATACAATAAGAAGAGCAAAGCTAACATTGGCAGAGTTTTTGTGGTTCAGAAAGTTCATATTGAAACGTAATTTTAGCTCTATGACGCACGATCATGTATCAATATTAAATAGAACACAAAAAACTGCACGCTAAAACATGGCATGAATAAAAGATACGTTAGTCACATCGTGAAGATCAGAAAGATTCCTACGGTTTACTCCAAAATCAATAATGCAGAGAGAGTCCGAATTTACGAGGCACATCTAACTTTCTAATAGATGAGAACAAGATCTACTTGCAATTTGCGCATTTGCTAGGCATAAAGCGTACAACTGCCTACAATTTAGATAAAAGAGCCCGGGAGAGAGATGACCTTGTAACGATGCCTTGTGGTAGTAAGAGACAACTTAAGATGTTTGACAATAAGAGAGCTGTTGACCAAGGTATAGTTAACTAACACCAGACTCTATTTTTTTTCATGAGCAAAGGACTGCCGAAAGTTGTCCTTCCCGAGACCCCTTTGTAAGACGGACAACAATCAGCAAAAATTCTGGCGGGTTTCAAGTTACCATGAAGAATTACAAATTAGAAGACACACCTGCTAAAAAAAATCCGACCGCAGCAATGATCTGCACCATGTCATGTACAAACCGACGAATCCTTCTACATCGATAGAGCAGGCATCGATGGAAAAAAACGAACCCGCAGACGACCTCGCGAGGGACTAGAGCAATGCGTGTCGTTCAAAGCTGACGGGGAACAAATCTTACAATGACATTTGCTGTGAACAATGCTGGTTGCTTCATTTACCATGAACTTTCTGAAGAAGGAATGGCAAGCGAAGGCTCTAATGCATTCATTGTCAGGGTGCAAATCATATTCTCCAGTGGACGCATTTTTCGTCATAGATAGTGAGCCTTCTGTCACCACGAATGAGTTTTTCAGTGCGTTCAGCATTTATTTCTGTGTTGTTAGTAGCAGAGGAACATCTCAAATTTGCTGATCGTCTGGATAATTTTTCCTCTCTTTAAATTCGTAATACTCTAGATCTTTCTAAATCAACAGTTTGCAGAACTGTTGTGCGTTTTTTTTTTGGTTGTTGTAGAGCTGGGATAAAGAAAAGTGTCATCTCGGTGGATTTTAAAACAACTAAAAGTAAAAGAAGACCACAAGGCACAGCTTATCTACGTTTGCACAGCATTCTAGGAACAATATAGGCAAAGGGCACATGAAAATGAAAAGCTACAGATATGATTACGGTTAGGAGGTTTTGCTCTATCCACTCTATCTTCTATTAATTGCTGGGTCTGAAGCGATATCTAGCCGTGAAGAAAGCATCTCGTTCTGCACGTAAGCGAAGGGTTTCGGCCTCTTGAAGCAATATTCTACAGGCATGGCATGTAGTGCAGAGATTGGAAAATGCTTGCCAGTTCGTCGAAAAATAAAGATGTTTAATCAACTGTGTAAGCTGTTTCTCAATCATGACAAAACCTTTCGTTTTATAGCCATTAATTTACTTGCTAATCCTGGGACGAACAGCCCTCGTATTAGCATCATTTCTAGTAGCAAGACATCGGAAAAGGTGCTCTTACATGGATAATAATGATAGCGTTCTTGCTGCTGCTCTTATTATTGCCACTGAAGTTAGATTCTATTGGTGTTGGTAGTAATACTGCTGCCTGTAGTTGTGGTGCTGCTGTTGTTGGTAGAGGTGCTTCTGTTGTTGCTGTTCTTTTTGCTGTCATTGCTGTTGAGATTGTCTGTGATATTGTATCGTTTGGTACCGTGCTTACTCATTTGTTGTTTGTCACCATGTTTGACGTTTTGGGGTTGCTGGATTTTAAAAAATGTTTAGTTTGCTTTGTTTTGTTCAGTTGTTTTTGTACGTTTAGTTTAAAAAGTTCCTCTGCGTTCCTTACATATTAGATTTATATAAGTAGGATTCATTTAGTTAAGAGCCGATCTTCGTAGCACAGGTAGGCTACTGCTTGATTGTCAAGTTGGTGATGTACTTAAAAGAGGGGAGAAATTCATTATATATTGCTGCCTCTAATGGAACCAAGCGTATTAAAAGTTCGTCCATACGAAAGGTGCCGCGGCGTTTTTTTTGTTTGTTTGTTGTTGTTGTTTTTTTGTGTTTTTTTTTGGGGGGGGGTTGTCTCTAGAGTGAAAAGGTAGAACTGCATCATGATGGTAATCGTGCGTCAGTCATAGTCACGATGCTTATGTCAGGATTTCTCGAACCTGGTCGTCACGTGTATTTCTTGGCATCTCTTTAAAAATGAACTCATCTCCACCTCAGTATCCCGTTCTCCTAAATGAAGTATTTCTTGTTTGTTTTCAGAATTGACTTCCGGCGATGGATTACCTGCGGCTGTATCTTGTTATCGCCGTAACGGCTGGGTTTGTCAGTGGTATCAAAGCCACTCTCATCTCCGACCTGTCCGAAGCTCAATCGTTCCTAAACGACTACAACACTATGATGGAGGTGGTCTACTCGAAGTCCATAAAAGCAGCCTGGGCCTTTTACACCAACATCACTGACCACAATCGGGAGGTCATGGTAGGTTTGGAGTACTTGTCATGATTTGTCGTACTTGTTTCAGCAGAAGAGTTAGCCGGCAAGTCGGGAACAGTGGGTTGTACGTTCTTGACAAGTCATATGGTTGGTCTAGGTTTGAATCCAAGTAGGAAGGAAATATGGTTGATTTTTTTCTAGTCACTATCTGAATGTTTCCTTTCGGCCTGGTGTCCAAAAGAGACTCCGTGTTCCTTTTCCCGAAGACGACATACATTGCTTTTAGCTCGGAGGTAAACATTGTAAGCAACAAAAGCAGCTAGTATCTTTTAAAAAAATGTTAGGTCTTTTGGGTTGTCTTGTTTTGCCTTTTCATTTTGTAGTGCTTTACATCCTTAAATTGCTGTTTTGGTGTGCATGGAAGGAGAGGTGGATCCTAGCTGATCATTCTATGAGTTGCTTGAGGAATATGCAAAGGTACTTGGAGACAAAACCTGTACTCTAAAATTAAGTTCTAGCTGAGTTTAACCACAAAGCCAGTGCTTATTGCTATAATTTGGTCTTAGGTTTTGGTTCGTTTCCTGGGGATTTTTTTTTCCTTCTCTTCATGATGGTTTTATCAATTTTAATATGTGAAGCTAGTCCTTTGCAGAAATGTACCTCTCTTTATAGCAGAATTGCCACTGACGATTACATAGTTTGAAGTTGACGGAAGAGGTTCGGATGATGATGATGATGATGGTGATGATGATGATGATGATGATGATGATGATGATGATGATGATGATGATGATGATGATGATGACATTGTACATATCAACAGGTTGCGGAGGATCTGTATAGTGACCAAGTGGCCCAACAAGCGGCCAGAAACGCCTCCCAATATAATCTGACTATCATGGACCAAACGATGAGAAGGGAGTTCATCAAAATCATGGACATTGGGTCTGCGGCCCAGACAGACCCCGTGAAGCAGACACGGGTAAGGAAATTATCTGTTCTTTTTCCGAACTTTCTGTGCTTCACTTGTCTGTAGTGTCTGTGCCATTTCATGACAGCACGCTGTTTTCCTCCAGTCATTTTAATAAAGTATATGTTCACGCGAGCTCCTCTTGAGTTCTTTGCGTATTAAGCTCGTCGTTCCACCAAAGCCCTGCTCTGGCCAAGATCATTTTCATTGTGTCTATTTTCATGCTTACAACCCTTTCGTTCCAAAGCATAATTTGCAAAGGCGGGCACGGTCATTAATGATTATTATGGACCAGCGCACAAAATTTTTCCTCGAGCGTGGCCGGTCGACAGTGCAAAAAAGAGCGATATTCTCCTCCTAGACTCATCTTGGCGGTAAGCAGCATTATGAATGCTGTCAAGCGAGCCAAGTCGTAGGCCAAGGTCAGAGACATCAACGGTAACGAGGGCGTTTAGGCTTCTTTTAAAGCTTGAATAAAAACCCAAAAAAACCAAAACACCAAACATAAAACTTCTGGCAACTCCCTAAAAATATAAGGTTGGAAATGATTCTTGTCAAATAGCTCAAGTTCTTGATGCTTTTGATTATTGCTCTGAGCCCCGTTGTCCCTTGCTCATACCAACGAATATACACACACTACTTCATTAGCCACGTTTCCTCACTTATATAAGAGCATACTTATTTCGTTTCATAAATAGCTTCTGATTCTGTACTCATTGTTATTGTTCCTTGAGGTCACACACTGCGCTACTCCTTTTATTTGCGAGTCTTGTTCTTCCAATATCCCTTTTCCTAGAATTATTTTGGCCTCGATTCTAGGAATGCAAATGAATGTTTCTGTTACTTATTTAACAACATGTTATTAGTTTTCCCTTTTCCCTCAACGCGTAGACTCCCTTACGAATCTATTCGTGGGTAGTTTGTTCAAATCTTCAAAGCCCAGAAATCAAACTTGTTCAAGAGATGAACTGTTTCATTCTTTTAACAAGTTTACCTATTATACTATGTATCTTTTCTTGCCCTTTTTTTTACATTCAGATTTTGAATTTTGACAAAATATTTCTTGAGCACATGCAAAAAATACTTCAAATCAAGAAAGTTCTTTTTTTTTAAATTCTAAATCTTGGTCTTAGTACAATGTACATTTTTAACAACTGGCCGATGAATATTAAATATAGTCCTACCTAACAGTTGATTTTTCTACTTCTATTAATGCTCTTCTCGTTCACAGAACAAGGTTCTTCTTATAAACGATGTCCTTTGCTCTTAGCACAGACTCCTCTATCCCTTTGATCCGGTGTTTACTGAACAGTGCTTCACGAAGAATGCCAAAAAATGTCGATGCAGCGGGTTTTGAATAGATGAAATGTATAAAGTGTCCTTGAGCTAGACAAAGACATATTATAAGCCCAGCTATTTTTTTAAAAACGGAGTAAAACAGCACGGCCACGAGCAAGGGGCTGTTTTTGAAATAATTTGTTAAGTTAAATATCATTTTTGTCATTCCATCATAATAATATAGCAAAATTATTTTCGGGGATCAACAAGACGTCTTTTCTCAGTTTCTTTTTTTTTACTTTGCTGACAATAGCAACCGGCGTCTGTGGTATCGTGGTTAGGTGTTTTGCTGCCACATGCAGGAGACCCACGTTCAGTTCCGAGTGGGTAGAATCTTTATCGATTATCTTGATCTTTCTGCTGGGATGTTTTATCCCTATTAGCCCGGTTTGGCCCAGACAGGCAGAGTCAAAAGGCTGCCTCCTAAATGGTCTAAATTGTGTCGCTGGAGACGTAAAACACCTACATTAAAATAAAACAATTGCATAAGCACCTCTGGTGCCATTCAATTATTGATTAATTATAAACACGATTATTGTAGTCTACGTGAACTGACTTTTGCGTACTAAAAGAAACACACAGAAAACAGCAGGATATTAGCCTACGTAGACCTTATGTTCAGCTCATTCATTTGTGATAAGGCCCCGGACACACACACACACACACACA